GGTCAGCCCGGCCCGCAGCGCCTGCATGGCCGGGGAGCACGGCCGGAGCGCGGGTGGAGGGTGAGGCAGGGCGACCCGCGGCGCCGACGGAACGCCGCGACTTCGGGCGTCCGACCCGCGAGGCTCTTAAAAGGGCCGCGCCGGCCTGCAGGGCCCACAGCCGGGAAAGTGCCGGGTCGGGGCGTGGGAGGGTGGGATGTCCGTCCCCTCTACTAACTGACGCTCCGAAGTACTTGGGACTCCAACAGACACAGTCGGGACCGGCTCGGAGTGGACGGCTCGGCGCCCTTTCTTTGCCCTTTTAAGAAGCGGACCTGAGGGGGGGGAGGGCAGGACACCGCCGTCTAGGCTCGTGATTGGCCACCGCCAGGCCCGGCTCCGCCCCGCCCCGCCCCCTCCCGGGTCTCCACCGAGGGCCCCTCCTCCTCCGCGCCTGTGCAAAGAGCTTTAACTTAAAGAGCGCCAAGGACACGTGAAGCACCGGTCTAAAGCGCTTCCATGACTACTTGATTTAATCCTCAAGAGCCCCGAGAGGGAGCTCCTCGATGGCAGAACAAGGACAAGACCCCAGGTCTGTCTGACGCGAGTCTATCCTCCTAACCATCACACCATAAGGCAACAATTCTAGGAGACTGGCAAAGATTTTAACACCCAGCGTGAGGGCAACGATGCAGGTGGCCGATGCTCACTGCTGGTTGGAACAGAAACTGATACCAGAAAGCAGCCTGGCAGTGTATATGAAAAGCCTTAAAAAGGCTCATACCTTTCATCCCACCTAGGGGACTGAGCTGGGGAAATAAACTGAGAATGCGAGGATTTCAAACACGAGTCTTCCCCACAGTATTACTTATGATAGAGGCTGGGAAATAAGCAAAATATTCAGAAATAGGGTCTAGATCCAGACATTTTTAGCATATTAGATAGAACAGTATATAGCCCATAAAAGTATTTTAAAATCATGCAACAACTTGCTCATCACCAAATGTGATGGGGAGACAATACACAAAACTATATATATCAAGAAAATGACAATGATGTAATAAAAATTACATCTGCGAAGAAAAGACTAACATGTTCTCAGTGATTTTCTCCAGATTGTGGGATATGAGTGACTTGTTTTATTGACATGTCTTTGAATTTTCAATCTAAAATATAACTTGCTGTATAACCATGTATGCGATGCCTTCTTCCCCAGTCCACACTCCCTCCTCCTTCCAGGTGCAGACTGCAGTGGGTGAATGAGAAGAGCTGAACAGGCTCTTCCAACAAGAACTTCCTGGCCTTTCTCTTAGACCATCTAAGAGCCTCCTGACTCCATGCCTGCTCAAACTTTTTTCTCCCTGCTCTGAGGTTCAAAGGTTTCAGCCCATCACAGCACCAAAGCCCATTGCAAAGAACACATGATTTATTAAAGACAACTTGTCATCAACAGCATCGACTCAAGAACAAAACTGATGAACAAACAGAAGCAAACATTCTGACCCTCTGGAGTGAGACCTGCTGAATTCAGACAGCCCAATCTGTAAGTGTCCAAAGTCCTGCGGGCAGCTTTCCAAGAGGGAAGCCTCAGGCACTCCGGCACTCTGGGGACCTCCCTTGAGAGGCTGGGGAGGGGAATCACCAAGGGCAGGTCCTTTCCTCAGGCAGTATCCCACTGGGGAGCTCAGCCCAATCTGGCCCGGTCCCTGTGCTCTTGACCTTCATCCCAAGGTCAAGAAGGGACCAGCCCCAGGTCTGACTGAGGCAAATCAGATGCAGTGATTCAAGTAGTGTGGCCCCAAGAGGGAAGGCAGGGGGACAGGCAAGAGGGAATGCATCAGGTGTCCTGGGCAGTGTCTGTGTCCGGGCTGTGGCCCCAGCCTCAGGCTGTGAAGAGGTCAAAGTTGGGAGTGAACCACCAGCTGACACCTTCTGGGAAGAGGGTGAGCCCGGCTGGTGGGAAACAGTGTCTCTGCCTGGTGCCAGGGTCTTAGAGTCTGGTAAGGATACCAGCTCCGTCTCCCTTGCGCTCAGCTCCAGTACAGAGCTCAGCCCTCCCCACCAGGACCCGCTGGAAAACCAGGAAGGTCCCAAAGGCAGGGGGAGAAATGCTGACTCTGCCCTTGGAAGGCCAGGAAGACTGTCTCTCCAACTCCCTTCCACCTTCCCAGCCCCACCCTTCATCCCCAAACCAAGCACTTGCCAATCTGCAATAAATAACCAGAAGTCTAAATAAATAGTAAAAATCTCTGAAATACTGTGTGTTGGGAAAGGAGGAGACAAAACAGCAAGTACATCACGTCCCAGCAGCACCCAGGGCACAGCCTGGTAAAGGAGCCACAGCCGGGCCAGGGTAGGCAGCAGGAAGTCCTGGCTGCCAGACTCGAAGGCTCTGGGGGAAGAGGGCCCTGCTGGCCAGTCCGAGGAGAGGGTGGGGACCCTTGCTACATTACCTAGCCTTCCAAACCCAAACCACCCATCTCCTCACAGGAGAGAGGGGACTTGCTCAGAATACGGTCACTCCTCCAGCTGCTCCTGCTCAGTGTACCTGCCCCAAATCGTGGGGACAGCCCCAGCAGGTGACCAGAGAAGGGCCAGCATCCCCTTCAGCCTGCTTGGGGGAGACACGGCTCTCCCGGCACTGACAGGTCCAGGGCCTTGGGGCTCAGCTGCGCCCAGCCCAGGGAGGCTCTCTCTGGTCACACTTGCCCTCTATGGGACTCAGCGTCCAAGGCTGGGACCTGGAAGCCATGGGATGACCACTCTTCTGAAGCACTTGGATCCCAACCCCTGGAACAGAATCACCTTCGTGTCCTTTTCCTTTGGAAGAGGAGAGCCTTTTGGGGACTCTCTGGGAGGCACAACTCCCCCTCTTCTCCCTCCTCCATCCCTGGGCAGAAAGGAGGGGAAGAGGCTCAAAGCTTCATGGGCCATCATTTCTCAGCAGCTTTTGGTTTCCTAGATTTCCGTCGCGGGTAGCAGATTCAGGGCCTTCCAGTGAGGCAGCCTGGGGGACCTGGGAGCCGAGGGCGGGGATGGGAACAGGGTGCAAAGGCCAGGGTTGACCTCCAGGGGCTCTGCTGAGCCAGACTCCTCATTCTGTCTCAGGGGTTCACAAGAGTGGAGGGGAGGAGGGAGAGGAAGAGGCTGGGGATAAGGCACCCCAAGAGAGAAAGGCAGAGGGAGAGCAATGGAGAGAGGAGCAGACAGAGCGAGAGTCACACACACCATCTGTGAAAGAGGTGGAGGGAGGAGGGAGGGAGACAGGCAGAGGGGCAGAGAAGGAGAAGCAGAGACCTAGAGGGATCAGAGACACTCTCCCCTCCCTCACACACACACTGACAGACACACAGAGCGGGGAGAAGCTGACACCTGGGGGATGAAGAGACACATGACACACCAACTCAGAACTACAGGCAGGCACACACTCACTGGGAGAGGGAAAGAGGGTGTGACCTGGGCCTGGCAGCTTCTTAGCTCCTTCACAGTGTCACCTTCCCCATGGAGAAGCCTAAGCACCAACCCCCAGAAGAAGCGGTTTCTGGCTCATTTGCCAAGCACCTCCCCAGAACACAGCCCAGAAGAAGACCAGAGAGGAGAGGGGGAAGGGAGCAGCAGAGCAGAGCAGGGAGGGACGCTTGCCAGCCCCCAGTGCCCCCAATCTGCCCCAGCCCCAGGAAACAACTTCATGAGCTCCAGCCTTGCTCAGCAGCCTGGGCAAAGGGTCCCAGGGTTGCAGGGTGAGGAGGGTGCCAGGGCTTGGTGGTTAGGAAGGAGCATGGCACAGTGTGCCCCGGTGGGAGCGGCCTAGGGTGAGGAGGCCTGGAGCGGGCCACTCCTGCAGCTTCCCCTCGGGCTGGGAGCCCACAGGCATCTGCGTGTCCCAGAAGCCAGGGCACAGGGTCAGCATCTTCTCTTCCAAACCTGGGCCTCTTGCTGCCAGGCTACTTCGAGTCTTGGAGCTCCGTGGCTTTCTGTAGGATCTGGCAGACATCTGTGATGGGGTAATCCTGGGCATGGGAAAGGCCAACAACATGCCTCTCAAATCAGCTAACCCTTTGCCACCTCTGCCACACCCATGCCCTTCCCACGAGGACTTGTCACCATGCTGGACCCTGAGCCTCAGGGACAGGGACCACAGGTTACCAGACACCCACCTTCTGCCCAAACCCCTGCATGTAGCTAACACGACACCACTACAGCACTAACTCCACTAGCCCAACCAGTGCCACCCAAAGGGGCTCACAGCACCCTCCTTGGGACCAGGACACACTGCCTCACCTCTCCCCAACTCCTCTCATTGAACCCTGAGCTCCATTCATAACGAGCTTGGTACTGGGCTGGACGCTGGACACGCACTAGCTCACTGGGTCACCTCAACAGCCTGACGAGAAGGTTACTGTGACTACGCCTGTTTTACAGATCTGGTCAATCACGTTATTGAAAACCAACCCCAGGCCAGGCGCTGGAGAAACTGAGGGCTAGAGAGGTTCTCACTTGGCTCAGGTCACATGACTAGCATAGCCGAACAAAGATGTGAACCCAAAGCTGTGTGACTCTTGAGCCCACGTTCTTAACCACTGTGCCCCACACTCTCCCTCCCCAGGTCTGAGCCTGATTCCCAGTGAGCACTACCACGTACCGGGTGCCACTGTGTCCCGGGTATGTGTGTAGAGCACTTGGTTCAGAGAGGCCAAATCATCCACTCAAGGCCACACCACTCAAGTGGCAGAGCCGGGATTCAAACCCAGATCCA